AGGAAATTTTAGATAAAGGTAAAGAATTACTTATCTAGCATACTTCCTAAGCATCCTTTCCACTTACATGTATAGTACGTCATAAACGAAACATAAGATCCACATGTTAATGACAATAAAAACAGATTATGGAAATGTTAACAAACTTCTTCTTTTTCAGACTTTTTCTTATCCTCTGATCAGTTTCATCCAAGAATGCTTCTTGGAAGGATATGCCTTAAGTGAGTCTCACACCACCCTTCCTACAAACTTCACTTTCACTGTACTAGCAATTTTAAGATACTGCTCAGGTCAGCTAAGTGGCACTGTGGAGAGAGCACTGGCCCTGGAGTCAGGAGGACCTGAGTTCAAATGCAGCCTCAGTCACATACTACATATGTGACCCTGGGCAAGTTATTTAACCCAGATTGCCTCAAAAAAAAAACTGCTCATAATTGCCCACCATTTTCCTCTATAGTGTTTTACAAAGGAGTCTGAGTTCTAAACTATTATTGCTCTTCGTAATTACTCCTTTTTACTTGACAAAGATATCAAGTGTTTACTAGCTTAGCCAATTTTAGGGATCTCTTGGCCTCTTCTTTGTAAAGTTTTGCAATAACAAAGCAGATACCCATCAATAAAAGAATGGTTAAACAGACAGTGGTACATGAATGTAATGGATTATGACTGTGATATAAGAAAGAATATGATAAATATAATGAAGCATGGAAAGATTTACATGAACTGATGTAAACAAAGACAAAAAATATATACACAAAGACTAAAAAATATAAATGGAAAGGACAACCATCACAAAACTGAAACTAATTGCTGCAGAATAACAAAGAATAAGTATGACCTTAAAGAAGAGATAAGAAAGAGCAGCAGACCCAAGATGGTGGCCACCAGGAGTCTGGTGAAGGAGCTGGAAGAAATCTACAAATGTGAAATGAAAAACCTCTGTAATTCTTAGTTAATGAAACTAATTTACTGACTTGGCAATGCTTTATTATTCCTAACAACCTTCCATAAGACAATGGAACATTCAGAATCAAAATCAACTTTCCAGCAGAGTATTCATTCTAACCACAGAAGATCACATTTAAAACAAAGATTTACCACCCTAACATGGATGAAAAAGGGCAGGTCTGTCTGCCAGTAATTAGCACTGAAAACTGGAAAACATCAACCAAAAATGAGCAAGTCATGCAGTCCCTCATAGCACTGGTGAAAAATCCCCATCTTTAGTCGCCCTTCAAGCTGACATAACTGAAAAACACTCTAAGGATCACAAAACGAAGAGTTGACAAAGAAATGTGGGGAAAAGCAACATATGGACTAAATATTTTGTCATCGATTCCAACCAGGGCAAATAGAGACCCACAGCAGTGCATTTCTAACACCCCACAACCAAGACTCTTTGGAAAATTAACAGATGTTACCTCCTGACATTAATTTGTGGTAGTTACTAACTTTGTATAATTTTCTTAATCAAAAGTGTTCTAGGTAAACCTGTAAAGAAAGGATTAACAATTTAAGGTGTTCTAGTTCTACTATCTTTGTTTTTAAAAAAATCACTGCTTCACAGTTTCAGAAGCTGAGACCTTTGCCCCTTACTCCAAAAGAATGTGGGTCCCATTTGTTTGAGGGGGGAATGATGGGGTTGGGATCTGGGCCCTGGAAAGGAAAAACCATGGCCAAATCTCTGGCATCTGCCTGAGGCTATAACCCCATCAATTGGCCACTGCTGGGATTCTTATAATATAGCCACGCTGGAATTCTTATAATCTAGCCACGGCTTAGATTCTTATAATCTAGCCTTTGATCAGATTCTTATAATCGAGCCAACAGCTTACTAATGTTTAGACTCCTTAAGATCTGGCCCAATATGACAGATGTTCTAATAAACCTTGTCTTTCGCTGAAAGAAGGCTCGGGTCAAATTCTTCCACTCAGGACCTGCGTATTGTGATTTTGGGGTCCCAGCACCCTGAACCCCTAAACTGCATCACAACTATTCTGGAGAGCAATTTGGAACTATGCCCAAAGGGCTATAAAAATGTGCATACTTTTTGACCCAGCAATACCACCTCTAGGTCTGTATTCCAAAGAGATCATAAAAATAGGATAAGGACCCACATGTACAAAAATATTTATAGTAGCTCTTTTTGTGGCAGCAAAGAATTGGAAATTGAGGGGATGCCCATCAGTTGGGGAATGGCTGAACAAGTTGTGGTACATGAATGTAATGGAATATTATTGTGCTATAAGAAATGGTGAGCAGGCAGACTTCAGAAAAACCTGGAAAGACTTATATGAACTGATGCTGAGTGAAGTGAGCAGAGCCAGAAGAAAATTGTACACAGTAACAGCCACATTGTGTGATGACTAACTAATTTTGATAGACTTATCTCTTCTTAGCAATGCAAACAACTAAGACAACTCCAAAAGACTCATGATAGAAAATGCTACCCACATCCAGAAAAGGAACTATGGCATCTGAATGCAGTTTGAAACTTATTATTGACTCTATCTTTTTTTTCTTTCTCATAGTTTCTCCCATTGGTTCTAACTCTTCTTTATACCATGACTAATATGAAACTAGGTTTAATATGAATGTATATGTTGAGTCTATCTCAAATTGCCCCAAAAGGGGCAGGGGAAGGGGAGGGATGGGGAGAAAATCTGGAACTCAAAATCTTATGGAAGTGAATGTTGAAAACTAAAAATAAATTTTGAAGAAAAGATAAAAAGGAGACAGCTAGGTGGCAAAGTAGATAGAGGATTCAGGAAGACCTGAGTTCAAATCAGGTCTCAGACACTTGACACTTACTAGCTGTGTGACCCTGGGCAAATCACTTCACCCTATTGCCTCGGGAGAAAAAAAAAGATTAAAAAAAAAATAAAAAATAAAAAGCATTCTTTGCTATATGGGATGGCTCTCTCTAAGAGGAAAAACAGAGAAGAGGGATACCAGGAGAAATTCTAGCAATGTAAAAACAAAAAGACATCAACAAAAATTTATTTTTAAAAAAAGTTAGCAGTCAATGGTTGACAGTCACGATCATTTCCTTTTTCTCATTTCCCATTTTTTAGCATCAAGGCTTATCTGAATAGATGAAGTTTAAGGCGCAGAAATGTACAGAGTCATCGCCTCTGTGGGCTTTCTTTGCAATTGATGTTTACGTTAACCTTTGCTCATACTAGTCAAAGGTTTACTAAACACAGATGATTCTTAAATCAGTGCCATACAACAACTGTATGTTGAAACACTACTTTACATTACAAATATATTATCCCCAAAATGCTGTTATTAGAAGCAACATTTTCTAAGTCTAAAAACACAAACTAAACTCTATTAATCTCTATCTTAATTACCAGTGCCACAATCCGACTCCAAACTACCTCTCCAGTCTTACTTTACATTATTCCCTTTCACGCAATCCACATTCCAATCACACTGCATAACTTCCTAAATGTTATCTATATTTACTCATGAGAATTTAACCTAACTACTCATACAAGAAAAATCAAGGGTATAAAGAATGCCTAAATGTCCAAACCGTGCAATGCATTTGAATGAAGAGCCCATGCAATGGGTTCATCTTGGACAGGTATTACAGAGAGGCAACGTACTAGACACAGAAATAAATAGAATTTAACAGGCTGGACTGCATCTGAGAAACTATTAAGTACTTTTAATGATCTTTAGCTCCCCCCCCAAAAAAAGGCCCTTTTAAAAAATACATTCTTTTGATGATGTTACATAGCTATGAAGGATTGAACCCTAGAGTATCTGAAGAATAAAAATTGTAGGTCAATCAAAGGGAAAGAGAGGTAAAATAGACATAAATGGGTCACAGCATATCACCAATGAAGAACTATACAAGAAAAGAGGCATAAAATTTTCTATCAAAAAAAAGTTTGACCAAAAATGGCAAAGAACTAGTCATGTGGTAAGAATAAGGAATAAGTGGTAGACAGCCCATGTGCTCCTGATAGCCACATAATGTCACGAGATCAAGAGGAAGGACCCCAGTAGAAGGTTTAAAAGCAAATATGGACAAGAGATTCAGTGAATGAGAAAGAGTGAATGTGCTGCAATCTGCATTGCTGGAGGAAGTGCTTTCATCACCCAATGAGATTCATGAGAACCCCATTTAGATTTAGAATGAAAGGACCTACAATGCTATCCAGTCAGACCTCCTCATTTTATAGGTAAGGAACTGGAGGTCCAGAAAGGTTAAGCAACTCATCCAAGACCATAAAGGTACAAAGTGCCAGGATTTCAATATGGATTCAATTCAATAAGAATTTATAAAGCACCTACTACATGCCAGATACTCAGGATACAAAGACAAAAATAAAACACTCCCTGCCTTCAGGGAGTTCATATCCTATTGGGAGGTAACAATATGTACACAGAAAATTAAACAGAAAATATAACAAAGTAATTTCAATATGAAGGAAACTAGTAACCGGGGGCAGTAGGATAGGCTTCTAAGCTTTGAAGGATGCTAGGGAATTGATAACACAGGTGAGGAGATTACAAATACATGAAAATACTCAAATTAAAAGTGACAAATAGGAAGAATACAAAGAAATACATTTCAACTCCTCTGTAGTGATGTAAAGTGAAGGGAAAAAAAACAAAATAATATGCACACCGAACCTACAACTGGCTTGGGAAACAAAGGCTTAAGGAAATCATTATTCATTCATCTTTTATTTGTTTATTCTCCCTAGATTTTAATCATAACTTTCATTTTCCTCATATTCAATTTTTCTTTCAAAAAGTGGGCTACTATTTCTACAAATATTTAAATGACAGTAGCAAATTAACATGATGTAAAATTAAATACATTGAAAAATCAAATCCTAGGCTTCATATTGAATGAATATACTAGATTCCATGTCATCACTTCAAGAAACTATTTCCACAATATAACAATTAATTCCAAGTATTCTTCCTATTTCCATCCTAAACTGTTCTTTGAGTACTCACCAATATATAAAACCTACCTGGGCATTGTGGCTAGTTGTTATTTCTAATTTTTCTTTTTTTGCTCGATGAAGTTTCTTTCTCAGATCTGTAATGAAATCCAAATCTGACTCACTGCTTCTATGCATTTCTTTTAAGTCAATAGCAGTATTCTTTAACCTGTTAAATGAAATTATAAAATATAATTGTGGTATTTAAACTTCCCAATAATTTTGTTACATTTGCATGAGACACACATTTAATTTAAATTAAGAGCATTTCATCTCATAAAGAGAAGGAAAAGTTAACAAAAGAAAGAAAGTTTTTTCCAATATATGATAGGGAAAATGCTAAGTTCCCTGGGAAACACACAGGCTTTAAGTGGTAGTATAAAATATCTCTAGCTTTGGCCACTTCTCTTGTACTCTTAATATTCTCTTAATCCTCTAAGGGCAAAATAACCTCAAAGCTCTACTACCATAAATTTTTCCAAGTGAAGAATGGTTTCCAAGAGTACAGCTTACGGCATTTCAAACCTCTAAATCCTAGACTCCACATCATCATTTTCAGAAATATATTTCAGAAACTTCCAGGGGATCTCCCTACTTATTAAATTATTCTTTGAGCAAACCCACCAACGCATAATTTTTATATTTGTTTTGCATATTAATTTGAAGTACTCAAAATGCTATGACTTTATTATGTAAAATGGAAAATCCAATTTGTCTTCAGAACGCTATATCCAGTAAAGCTCTCCTCCTCCATCCTTGACACAATAATATTTAATTGTAAAGAGGTGGTTACCATGGCAACACATCCATTAAGCAAAAATTCATCCCAATTTCAGATGTAGTACCAATTATAAAACAAGAGGCTTTTATGCATTGGCCTTGCAAATCCAAATATATATAATGATAGTATAGGTATTCACATAAGGGCATTTTATAACTCCTTTATAAAAATAGGGGTATGCTAGCAAATGTCCAGTTAACAGAGAGTAAACTTACTAATATAATGATAAATGTAACTTCCATTTCTTTAGCACCTTAGCACATCTTCATCCATTCAACAAATATTTACCAAACAACTGTGCCAAAGCATTAGGTGATGAAATGAAAATGTAAAAAATGATCACTGTCTTCCAGAAACCTACCATCTATTGGGGAACAAGATATGACATATAATAACCTAAAAGAAGAGATAAAAAAAACTACAAAAAGCACATGAATGAGTCCCCAGTATATAGCAATCTAGGACTACACAACACAGGGATAATAAACCTTTTAACGCCCCGTGAGAGCCGTAAGTTGTTAGAACAAAAATTGATGCTCAAACCTGGATTATAAAAAAATAAACATTTTTTTAAAATACCCTGGGTTATTTAGGAAAGATTCAACTAAATTCAGTATGCTTTTTTTTAAGAACACAGAAAAGTATGCAACGTATTTGAAAAAGATGACCTTTAAAAAGTTTCTAAGTTTTAGATGGTTCTACTACCTATTATACTTGTGATCCTGCACAAGTCATCTTCCCTTTCTGTCAGGTTGGTCCCTTTAAGGTCCCTTCTAGCTCTAAATTCTATGAGCCTAGGAACTTAAAAGGATAAGCTTCAGCAATCAAAATTTTTTTTATTATGTGAGACAGCAGATTCATTTCCCATACCAAATAATTATGCAGAGCAGCTGATTTCTTGACCTTGCCAAATAAAGTAATATTATAATAATCATATTTTTCTAAAAATCATGAAATTCTTCCCCCCACTACATGGAAACATGATTTTTTTAAATGTTCAAATTTTTTAAATCCCACAGGTGAATATTGTAATGATCTACTTAAGGTCTGAGATCCAGTCAACTACGACATCGTTTTTCATTGCATATCTGGAAAGAGCACAACCAAATTTAAACGCAAGAATGCTTTTAATACAGATGAAGTAAAACCATAACATTTTTTTGAAATAAATAACCATAACATGTTCTCTTCTTCCATATGTCCATTTGTGTCCTGAGTAATTCAGTGTATTGCTTCTCAATATACAAATATTCTAATATTTGTATTTGCAAACATTTGACAACCTGGTTCATTTTATCAAATCAGAAGGCAAAACATTCATTTGTATAGAGCATGCTATATTCAAAATGAACTATATTATAAAGCTAAATTTTCCAAGAAATAAAAGTAACATTCAATATAAACCTTGAAAATTCAACATCAAAAGTCAAAGAATACAGGGAAGAAAAGATCTGAAACAAGTGAATTCAGGAGGCAGTGTTAAGAAAGATAAGGTTATATTATATTAGGTTGAGATGCATTGGAGCTTTGGAGATACATATCATGGAAATATTTTCACATACAGCATATATAACAGACAAAGAAATGCTGAAAATGTGATATCTGTTTTAAGATGGCAATTACTAGATGGTTATCCACAGAAGGGAAGAAAGTTACTTAAGAGGCATGGTTCGTCTCTATTTGAGTAACGTTCCATAAAATCATAGGGTATCGGTTAGAGGCCATATAATTCAACCCCATCAATATAATTTTGAATGTGAAATTCAACTAACATGCATTTATTAAATACCTACTTAGTAGTACAGTGTTAGGTGCTAAAGATACAAGTACAAAAAAGAAGTCACATTTCTTAAGGAACTTTAACATACAAATGGAAAACATTGGATTTGATATTTCTAAAAGGAATGAATTGATAGAATTGAAAAGGTTATTTAACAGTAAAAGTACCTAGGCTCATTGGACCATAGATTTAAATGAGGAAGAGACCTTAGAGGCCACAGGAACCCTTTTGATCCACACCTCCTAATGTAATCTAACATCCTCAGCCAAAAAAGACAAAAGGAGATATAAATCTGATTAAACTATCTCTTGTATGCATTAATAGAGTTTCATTTGAATTAAGAAACTCATCTTTCAAAATGTAATTACCCTTGTAAAAGTTGTTTACCATAAGTCACTGAAGTCTGAGTATTAATTAATACATTTAGAGGTAAAAATAGTGGAGCTTGATGTGGTGGTCAAAAGAGAATCCAGTATAAATATGGCTTCCAACAAGTCATTAACCTTCAACTTCCTCCTCCTCTGCAAAATAAGGATAATAATTCTTAGAGAATTAGAGAACCTACTTTCACAGAGTGGTTGAAAGGATCAAAGGAGAATGAATAGATAGAAATGTAAATTATCACTACAATTAACAAAAAGAATATGAGTCTCTGAATCAGAAGGCACAGGTTTAAGCCCCATTGCCTGATAGTGTTTATATGACTTTGAATAAATCACTTAATTTCTCTGGACTTCAGTTTATTCACCTGTAAAATAGAAAAGTTGAACTAAATGCTCTAAATCATTATTGTCAAACTCAGAAACAGGGGCAACTAAACCATATTTAAGGATCCTCACAGTCTCATATTGACTTTGAAAACTAAATATTAAAATTATCTATATTCTACTGTATTTTTATTTATTTTGTCAAATATTTCCCAATTACATTTTTATCTGGTTTAATCCCTCTACTTTGCAACTGCTACTCTACCTAGTTTCAGCTCCATGGAATAAGATGTCACTCCCAGGATAAATTCATCACTTGTAAACTCACCACCCTACAACTACTCAAGCTTTGAGGAAAGCCATCTCCCTCAAATTCCTCTCCCTTCTGATTGAACAGCTGGAAGGAAAAGTAGAAAACTCTTCCCAATGTCCTCCCTTATAGAGGGCAGAAGCTAGACTATCTCTACCTGCCTTTTCCCAGCTCTCTCACTCCCCCCTCTCTTCCCCTCCCTTTCTGCCTCCGTGTTTATCTCCCTCTCTAGACTACAAGCTTCTTGAGGACAGGGACTGTCTTTATTAACTGTTATCCCCAGGACTTAGAACAGTGCCTGGCACATAATGGGTTTATTGGACTGTAACCATGATCAACTGTGAAAGACTCAGCTACACTAATCAATACAATGATCCAAGACAATTAAAACAACCAATCCTGAAGCATATTTTTTCACTTTCTTTGTTTTTCTTGCTTTTTTTTTTGCAACATGGCTAGTGTAGAAATATGTTTTACATGACTTTACATATATAACTGATTTATGCTTGCCTTCTCAATGAATGGGGGAGGGGCTAGAGAAAGAGAATTTGGAACTCAACAATTTTTAAATTAACATTAAAATAAATAAATAATTTTAATAAGTAAATGTTTATTGAATATTGGATTGTTTCCAGCTACACATGACATCTCTGCTCTAAATGGTCTCTTTCAGTTCAAAGAAAAATCTCCTAGTGCCTAATAAATATACAAACCTGCTAAGGAAAAGAAGGTCCTGATCTGGGGATGGGGAAAGGCATAATTTTCAAATATAGGGCACTGAGGAAGAGGGTCCTGACTGAGGTAATTCATCGAAGGAAAGATGGGATAGATAGCCAAAGGATAGCATATTGATAGAAGGTAGGTGCTATCAGAAGTTGGAAGAGACGTAAAGACAAACTTTACATCCTTAATAATTTTATCTATTGCCCTGATAGACTTTTTTGGGGGGAAGAGGGATAGGGAAGACTGGGTTGTCTTCCTATCTCACCAAAGTTAGAAGTGCAGCAGCCACTCACAGACCTGATCTCAACACTGATCAGATAAGATTTTTTAACATGAAATTTTATCACAATCAGTCCTATTATAATATTAATGGAAGGAAAAAACTTAAGTATTACCTTTGGATTTCAGCATTAATATTACTCGAATTGATGCTCATGATGATGTCATCTGACTGTTAATAACCAAAATTCTCTTTTACTTTTTACTTATTAAAAATGAAAACCTTCAAAGATGTCTTCAGCTTTAGAGCTCAAGTAGATACAAAGAAGTCTGTAAGAAACAAACATATTGAAAATAGTAACAGAATAAATTATTTCTGAAAGGAATAAATGTAAAACAAAAGATGTGGTTCCGAAAGAATTAATTTTAAGATACATAAATAGAGCCTAAACTCTCTTGACCTATATTCTTGATTCACAAAGACCATTCCTTTTCGTTAACACAAGTGACCAAAAAGATCAAAGAATTCCCAAACAGATAACTTCTTGTCTATTTTCCCCTGCCTTTACCCATGAGATTGAGAGGCCTGGAGAGGTGAGGTAAGAGAATTCCAAAAAAACTACAACCTTTCCTTTTCTTTCTGGTACCCTTCCTCAATAATAAGTCATCTGAATAATACATGGTCATTCAGTTAAAGAACAAAACTACTACTTCATAAGGAAACTTCAAGATATAAATTCTAAACAGGCAGATAATTTACAAGTATACAAATGATATCTAGCTGCGAAATCCAATGAATGGCCTTTTCTCAATCTTCATTCTCCTTGACCTCTCTGCAGTCTTTGACAGTGTTGGTCACTCTCTCCTGCTTGACAGTCTCTTCTCTAGGATTCCTGACACTATCTCCCAGTTTTCTTCTTACCTATCTGATTACTACTTCTCTTTCCTGGATCCTCCTCCAGATCACACCTTTTAGGAGTCCCACAGGGTTCCTGGGTCTTCTCTTCTCCTTCCATACTACTTCACTTGGTGATTTCATCAGTTCCCATAGATTTAATTACCATCTCTATGCTGATGATACGAGAAGCTAGGTAGCACAGTGGATAGAGCACAGGGCCTAGAGTCAGGAGGACCTATCAAATCCAGCCTCAGACACTTACTAGTTATGTGACCCTGGGCAAGTCACTTAATCCTGTTGGCCTCGGGTTTCCTCACCTGTAAAATGAGCTCGAGAAGGAAATAGCAAATCACTCCAATATCTTTGCCAAGAAAACCCCAAATAGCACATGAAACAAATGAATAACAAAAAAAGCTGATAATTCTCAAATCTACCTATTCTGCCAACCTCCAAGCTTACAGCTCCAACTGCCTTTCAGACACGCTGAAATAGATTAAACTTACTATGTCCAAAATAGAACTCATTATCTTTCCCCCTAAATCCTCCCCAATTCTTACCTTATCCTGTTACTGTCAAGGTCAGTCCCTCATGCTAAAAACATAGGAGTCATCATAATGAATTCTCTACTATCTCTCACATCTCAAACCCAAGCTGTAGTCTTTAGTGGTCCCCATTTCTATTTGAATTTGATACCACTGGTCTACATACAGGCACATATACATGCACGTACCTACACATGCACACATAGTTTGGTACTGTAATAAATTAAACTCAGTGAGACAAAAAGGAAAGAGAGTTTAAGAGGGAGGTTGTATGCACGAGCAAAACAAACCCAATCTCAGAGGGGGATCATAAAAGGAGGATTAAAAGGAAATACAGTCTAAGAACCAATTATTGGGGTCAGAATAAAGTGAAGTAGAAAAAGATATCGAAGAGGAAATGGATTGCTTCTACAAATCACTTGTGTTGATCACATTATTTCTCTTTTATAACCTTCTTCAAAATCATTGGAAACAGATTAATTGCTCATCAATCAGCCACATGCAAAATAATAAAAGTTATAATATTACTTAAATTAGTTTACTTATTCAGTGCCATATTCTTCAAACTATGAAAGGATTACTTTATAAAGCTAGAAAAAATAATAACAAAATTCATCCAGAGAGACAAATTATCAAAACTCTTCAAAGAAGTAAGGGGAAAAAAATAGATGGGAAAGGATAGGGCCTAGCAATACCAAATCTCAAACTATATTATCAAGTAGTAATTATTAAAGCCATTTGGTAAAGGTAAAAATAGGCAAGTTGATTAGTGCAACAGATTGAAGTAAAAAGTAAATGAACATTGTAGTATGATGTTCAATAAACCCAGAGACTCTGACTACCAAAGTAAAGGCAAAAACTGTGGGAAACAACTAGATGGAACTGCTGAAGAAAATTAGCTTTCTGATTCTGATCAGGGAATTCCCAATTTGCAAATCTGTTTCTCATAGTGAAACTAATTGAACAGCTATTTGATTACTGGCACTTTTGTCTCTGGTCTGCTGTTTCGTCTTTCTCAGGTTAGAGACTGGCTCAGTAAAATCCTGTTAACAAGATTAACAATTCACACTAACTGTTTATACATTTTGACCCAGCAATACCACTACTAGATCTGTATCCCAAAAAGATCAAAGGAAAAGGAAAAGGTCCTATCTGTACAAAAATATTGATAGCAGTTCTTTTTGTAGTGCCAAAGAATTGGAAATTGAGGAGATGCCCATCAACTGGGGAATGGCTGAACAAGCTGTGATTTATGACTGTGATGGAATACTATTTTGCAAACAGAAATAAGGAGCAGCATGATCCAAGTTTTTTCTCAGAAAAACCTGAGAAGACTTATATGAACTAATGCAAAGTGAAGTGAGCAGAACCCGGAAAAACACCGTGCACAGTAACAGCAATATTTTAAGAATGATCAACTCTGAAAGACTTATCTACTCTGACCAAGGTAATGATCCAAGATAATTCCAAAGCACCCATGATGAAAAATACTATCTACCTCTGGAGAGAGACCTGATGAACTATGAGTGCAGACTGAAGTATTTTTTTTTAGTTTCTTCATTTTTCTTGGGTTTTTTGCATATGTTTCCTTTTCCAACATGGGTAATATGGAAACATGTTTTGCATTATTTCCACATATATAATCAGTATCATATTGCTTGCCTTGTCAAGAGGTGGGGGAGGGAGGGAGAGAATTTGGAACTCAAAATTTTTTAAAATGAATTTTAAAATTTTTTACATGGAATTGGGAAAGATTTAAGAAAATAAAAATATGTATATTTTTTAAAACTATCTCATGACACAATAAGTTCCAAATGTATTCATGATTTAAATTCTAGATGTAAAAAGCTTTGTTATAAATTAGAGAGTGGAAGGAGATCATTAAAAACTTTTTTCACAAACAAAATCAATGGAGCTAATTGCTATAGAAGGAAAACAACTAGAAAAAAAAATCTTCCCTTATGTAGCTCCAACAAGTAGAGATGACGGTAACCAAATGGATCACAGGCCAATTTTCCATTGCTGAATGTAACAGGACTCTCTTGATCCAAAGGCAGTCTCCAAGGAATCATACTGTGTAATGAGTATAGACTCTTCTAGTTCCAAACTAAATCTTCCTACTGGCAGAGTTTGTAATTGGAAGCATCTTCACCAGTGAGGAAAGAACTGAGGTACTGCCTTGAGTCCTAGCAATAGTATAGAGAATTAGAAGCATGTGACCTCATTTAACTGGATGCAGTAACAGGGCTTCTGGAGTTTGGATCTTGACCTCTCCTCTGGCTGATAACAAAAGAAATTATCTCCAGGCATTGCTCCTACTCTTCTTTCTCTCCACTAGAGAGCAGCCTCTTGAATTTGTTCCCTCTCTTCCTTTATCAAGTTTGAGCAAAAGAGGCAGCTTGTCACGTTCTTCTACTTTGCTGTCTTTTCCCTAGGATTGATTAGAGACTCAGCCCTTCTCTCCACTTCTTTCCTCCACTCTGCTAGAAACTGAAAAGTCTACAAAGCACCATACAGATTAGCTCAACTAGGCTTAGTAGAAGTATCAATCCATTATAATCTTCTTTAAAGGAATAATCTGTGTCTTGTACTTTAAGAATGATTTTTTAAGGATTCTATTCTATTTTTGTGATTGGGAGTCATTTTTATAGATTTGCACATTCATTACTGTATTAAAAGTTTATGCAATCACCCATTCCATCTACCTGATAGTTCAATAGATTCTAGATCGGTATGTTCGTTATTGAACTAAGGATTCCCCTACAGTTCATGGGCTCAGAGTCCCATTGAAGTTCTCTTTCTCAAGCAAAATTGTGTACTTATTTTGTGGGGTTCTACTTTCCAGCCATTATGTCAAAGGCCTAGAAAGATCCACAAGTTCTGGCCCCAAAAAGATTTAAGGGTATAGCAGATTGGACAGTTGGTAACAGTTTGCTTAACAGGGAGACAAATTTATAAGCTTTGTTATGTATCAGAAGACATACATACAAGAGAAGGCAAGACCCACACAGAATCTCTACTTGTGAAACAGTAAAAGCTGTTGATTCTGCCTCTTCAGTTAGCAGATAAGGATCATCAATTTCACCAAAACACGAGGACCTTTTACTCTCAATTAATTACTCACTCTGGGACAAGGCCTAGCTCTGTATGTTTCTAACAGAAAGACTAGCTGGACAAAAACGTGCTCATAGGTATAACAAAATAAGTGTGACAGTATCCCATGCTGTTAAAAAGACCAGCAGAAAGACTAAAGCACACATCCCCCTTTTGAGCCAAAAAAAGTGAAGTGTAAGGAAAGAATGAGGTGACTGACAGTGAAAATGGAGAATACTTAAAAGGTAAAAATAGCCAAAAAGAGTGAAGATATTAGAAATACAATGTAGAGGCAGTTGTAATACTGAGTATCTTAGCCACTACTACCAGCAAACAATTGTCCCTTCGTAACCATTATATGGGGCACCTGGGTGGCACAGTGGATAGAGTGTTGGGCCTGGAGTAAGGAGGACTTGAGTTCAAGTCCAGTCTCAGATACTTACTAGCTGTGTGACTCTGGGCACCCTATTGGCCTCAAGTTTCCTCATCTATAAAACAAGCTGGAGAAGGAAACGGCAAACCACTCCAGTATTTTTTCCAAGAAAACCCCAAATGGGGTCACAAAGAGTCAGATACAACTGAATGACTAAACAACAACAACCACACGAATCATTTTATAACTTCTGGATGAATTATAAGAAAGAGCTATTTAGCTGATCATTAAGTGATAGATTACAATGTTAAACCACTTGCACTCAGTTCATTAGAACTGTCAGTTTCAGGAGTTAGAACAAATCTTAAAAAATATCTAGTATTCTAGTTCAAGCCCTATTTGAATAGGAATCTCTTCCAAAATA